AGACATATGCAAGTGAATGCACATGCATGTATAAATGTACCTGTAGTCATACACATTTATGTGTGTTGCATATATGCCCACATATATCACAAACCACCAAGGGGGACAGTTACAAAGTATATTCAAACAACTCACAGCATTGATTTACTCATACCATACCCTCAGGTATTGGACTTAGTCAATTAGCATAACATAGTTCACTAAGATAATGTTCTACATCCTAGTTTGGTAAGCAGTATCTGAGGTTTTAAAAGCTTGCAAGCAGTCATCCAATAATACTATTGGTCTCTACTCATATGGAGCAAAAGAGAATGAAGGAAATCAATTTAGCCCTATGGACTAATAGCCCACATGAACCACAACCTCTTCTAACCTGAGACCAGAAGAACTAGATGATGCTTGGCTACTACTATCAACCTTTCTGATCTGGACACAATAGAAGGTCCTGGATGTTGTTGTTGTTAGGTGCTGTTGAGTCAGTTCCAACTCACAGCAACCCTATGTACAACAGAACAAGACACTACTCAATCCCAGATAGGATAGGAGAGAAATGTGGAAAACTCAAATTTCTTAAAAAAAGTCAGACCTACTGGACCACCAGAGACTAGAAGAACCCTCATGACTATTGCCCTAAGTTACTCTTTGAAGTTGGAATTGAAGCTACTTCTGCAGGTCATCTTTCAAGCAAGTAGTAGATTGGCTTATAAAATAAATCATATCACCTGGGAGTAATATGCTCCCTTAAACAATTAACTGTATGGGATCAAATGGTCAACATTTACCCAAAAGCACAGATGAGAAGGCAAGGACAGGAAGGAAAGCTAGATCAATAGAAACAGAACAAACAGAACGGTAATGAGAATGCTGACACATTGTAAAAGTTGTAGCCAATGGCACAGAACAATTTGTATAAAAATTGTTAAAGGAGAACCTAATTTGCTGTGTAAACACCTAAAACATGATCAAATATTATTAAAAAAGTACCAGCCCAGGGGCAGAGTCAGCTCTCAAGGAATCTTGGAACTAGGAGAAACTGAAAGCTAGGTGAGTAAACCAACAGACAATCCCCAAATTCTGTTTGATCCTTATTTTCACCTTCCTTCTTTACACCTGTTCTTAGTGTGTTGGTCACGATGTTATTCTTTTTATCACCTGAAATACATTTTGGAGTAGTGACAGGAAAATGGGATTAATAGACACGAGGTCTGCCTCAGGTTGGGAAGAGTGGAACAGTGTGGGCTCTAGAATTCAGATCAGGGGTCTATTCCAGCTATTACTGACCAGCTATGTGTACTCATTGCAAAACTCCATGAGTCTCAGGTTAGTCATGTGTCAAGTGAGTTTCATAAATCCTGTCTTCTGGGTCTGTTGGGATGTGTGTAATGCATGTCAAGCCCCTGGCACAGTGCCTGACATGTTTTCTGTCTTTAAAAAATGGCAGCTATTACTGTGATTATTTTGACCCTAGATGCATAGTGCCTAAGGCACTTGACTACTAACCAGAAGGCTGGCGGTTCAAACCCACCAGCCTTTCCTTGGAAGGACGGTTGGGCAATCTACTTCCCTAGTGATACTGCCTCAGAAACCCAATGAGGGGTCGCTATGAGTCGGGGCCGACTCACTGGCACCCAAGGAAACCCAAGGAGGGGTCGCTATGAGTCGGGGCCGACTCAACGGCACATAACAACAACAACAGATGGGAACTTTCCAGGATTTTTTTTTTTTTTTTAATCTAGGCTGTGTCAATGAATATGCAGTTCTCTAGGACAAAAAAAAATCAGCAAAAATGCTGCTTAGCTGCTTGGAAAGGAAATCTAGGTAATATTTTACATTAGGAAATATATTATTTACTGTGGGTGTGAGGTAGACTTCCCCAGTTGGATGCAACACAAAGCTCCTAGAATGATTATCAAGAACCAACAACTTCCCCCTCCCAGCTGCCCTTCCATCTAAGTCACTCCTGTTTTCATTCATATCACCCCCATCAAAAATCTAGTCTTCACTTGTACTTTACCAAATGACACTCAGGTTAACCTAATTCTAATGTCCTTTGAACAGAGTGGTCTCTGGCTATTCCTTCCCAAGGCAAAGTGCCAGAACAGTGGCTTCTTGCCATCTCACCTCGAAGGAGTATCACCTTATTTCTCATGAACTCCATGGACATGCTGTGCATAAAGCACCCAGTCAATGCTTGTATTCAGCTGCACTGCGACAAGAGCGCAGACACTTGCCACTCATGTCCCAAATGGGGAATTCTCTCTGGTTTACCCAAAAGCCGAGTAACTGTTAAGAGCCAGTCTCCATTCCAGACTCAGTCCCTCGATGCTGAGACACATCATGGGAATATCTGACCCTGCACACCCTTCCTATAGCCTCCTTAAGTGCTCCCCACCTCATCCCACCCCCTCATCCCTCAGCTTCCCCCACCCCATGCAGCCTAATTTAAAATGACCTCCCACTCAGGTATCACAGTGTCCCAAATCCCAAAACTGCCTCCGGGCATTTACACTAGCCTGCTTTCACCTGGAACCGCCCTGATCCTCACCTCTTTTTATTATTTGTCCTTTTGTTCTTAGAGAGTATCTTACCCTCTTCTTTATATGATTGTTGTTGTTGTTGTTATGTGCAGTGGAGTTGGACCGGCTCATAGTGACTCCTCCTTGGGTTTCCGAGGCAGTATCACTACAGAAGTAGATTGCTCCATCTTCCTTCCGAGGAGTGAGTGGCTGGTGGGTTTGAACCACCAGCCTTCTGGTTAGCAGTCAAGTGCCTTAGGCACTATGCTACCAGAGCTCCCCTTTATATGATAGCTGCTCCCAAATGCTAAACATCTATGGGCAGGGCTGGGTGTTCTTTATCTCAGCATTCCCAAGACAAGAATAGAGCTTTTCAAAGAGCCAATGCTCAATTAATAATTGGGAATAAATGAGACACCAAACAAGGATTTAATTTAATTTCATTGATATTCTTGAATAAGCAAAGTAACTCTAGATATATATGTTTGAATGTTACAAATAAAAGTCAATAAGGCAAAACAAGAATTAACCGTATTTTATTTTTTGTTTTGCAATCCCAGTTATTTTATTGTGAAGTTCATTCACATTTCCAAGAACAATTCCAATCCCAAAGTGATGTTATCTTGTTCTAGACCCCCAAATAAAGGTTCAAGTTTTTTAAATTGTTTCAGAAAGATACCCAAACTCGTACTGTTAAACATTATATAAAGAGAAATAAATGTATAATCTAGGTCATATATAAAGTTAGATTCTAAAGCTAAATAAACATTTTATTAAACAGAGCAAAATGTGAAAAACATCGAAAGAAAAAAGATAAAGTTACTGACGTACAACAGAAACAAACAAAAAAAAGATTTATATTTTGATTTCTGCAGCCCTCCCTCAGTCTGCCACTACTTAGAATTATTATTTCTCTTTTGAACCTCAAAATGAACGATCTGCCTCAGACTTGACTAGGGGAGGGAATTAATTGCTGGAACCCTAGAACGTTCACTGGCCCTAGCTGCAACTCTGGCTCGGATTCTTTGTTCCTCGTCTCTCAATGCCTCTTTATAGTGTAATGGGAAGGCACTGGGGACTGTATCACTGACCCTGGCCAAAAACTCCAGGACTTCCATCTTACTGGTTTCAGCGTGGGCTCTGGGACCCCACAGGAATTCATAGCGTGGAGGATCACTGTTGGGCACCTGCTGGTACTTCATGTACTTTTCCTGCACCAAATCTTTTGTAATGAGCTTTCTGGGCTCCCCAAAGATTAAGTGCTTCCTCCCATCATAGACCCCCAAAATATTCAGGAATTCCTAGATATCCTCCTTGGTGGCTCTGTTGCCCTTTATGAAGATCACACTCAGGAGAGGCATCAGGAGCCCATTCCTGGGAAAATCATCCTCATCATTCAGACTTCCTTTGTTGGTGAGTCCTCCTAGTTTGGTGACAATGGCATAGGATTGACTGCTGGGGTCCGCTTCCTTCAGGTCAAGGCAAAGACCAGCTCCAATCGCTCAGCGGTTCTCCTCAGGATCTCAGGAAAGTGCTCTTTGTACTTTTTGTTGATGACCTTTATCATTTCTGCCTTTGTAATGGGCACTTTCATTTTATACTTGTCCAGCAGGAACTGCATTAACATACCCGCCTTCCTAGATAAGAGATCTTTCTGTGAGCTCTCAGTGGGGGTTGAGACCTCAGAGGACCTTGCTCTTCCCTCCTCTTGGCCCTCTGCACCTACAGCAGCTTTTGTGCAGCACACCCAGGCAGCATCAGTGGTGATGGGTGGGACTCTCTCAGGCCCCTGGGGAAAGCCAGCAGCAGGGAAGCTCTGGGGAGAACTCCCAAGAGGAGGAGAGGAGGAGTAGGGAGACCCCTTCTCTTCTCCTGTAGTGGCCTGAGCACCCTCAAGATCATGGGTGTCACCTCGGGCCTCAAGCCGGGCCTCCCTTCGGGCCTGGTGACGTTTCTCACGGGCACGGAGCTTGCTTTTCTGACCATGAGGCATGATGACTCTGGTCAAGGAGAGTGAGCTGGAGTGTGGGAGCAGGACAGGTGATGTGAGCCCACTGGGAGGGGAGGCTGTGAGCCTCTTCAGCAGCGAGATACTACTCTGGTTTGAAGGCTGCCTCTGTAGTTTTCCTTGAGGACACTACTCTAGGAGCCCAAAAGGCTCCTATTCTTCTGATCAGACTGGCCCCTGAGAAACCTGGGGAGGAAGTTAGGGTGAAAATTAGGATGCAGCCTGATGGCCCGGCTTAGAAATTACACTGGTGTCAGCTGCCGATAGCAAGATTTAGGATTCCTCTCTCTCCTACCCTGAGTCCACCTGAAAGCAGGGATGGGGCTCTGGGACTCAGAGGAATTCCCTCACTTTCTACAGGGGAGTCTGGACACTGCACAGCTGGCTACCCCTGTGGGGTGGGGGCTCCCAGTGCTGAGAGCAGGGGAGGGCAGTGTGCGGTCCCTCTTTTGCCAGGAGGCTTCCTCTTAAGCAATGAGGGATCTCCCTTAGCCTCCAATTGGGATCTAGGTCTCCTGCCTCTTCAGAAATGGGACTGCCCCTTTAAAGCAATGCACTTCTGTCCCAGAGACTTTGCAAGCTGAACTCAGCCTGAGGGCTCTGAGGCTGGAGGGAGGGGTGAGACTTTGTATTGTCTCCTATAATCTGGGTTAGGTGGTCCCCTCAGTCGATTTTCAGGCTCCTCACCTTCTCACCTTGAATCCTGAGCAGTCCTGGGACTCTGCTGAGATGTTAAGAGACCTTGGTGAGCAAAGCAGAGGCCACACCTCTCTGGCACTTCTGTCGCAAAAGGCCGGCTTTTTGCATCACATCCCGCCAAGGCTTCTTGTGGGCGTCAAAGGGGCAAGGCTATTGGGGAACCAATGAGGACCAAGAGTAGAGGTGGGGCGGGGCTCTTGGAAACCCACTGTTTTGGATTCGATGATCACTCAGTAGTCACTCAGGGTCCTCACCTTGATACGCATCAGATCCTGTAGTTCCTGCCTATACAGACCTCAGTCACAGGCTCAGAACTAGACTGTCACCTCGCAGAGGCCCTCGAAGGGGGAGCTCAGGGCATGCTGCATGGCTACCCTGCCTGCAGTCTCACAGAGTGGTGACTGGGTCAGTGCTCTGGGGAAAGCCTCTTTGGTGCTTAGTTCCTTCCCCCATTAGCACTCCAGGCCCACACCTTGCCACCAAAGACCAAACGCAGTGCCGTGGAGTTGGATCCAACTCATAGCGAGCCCTCCTTGGGTTTCTGAGGCAGTATCACTAGGTAAGTAGATTGCCCAATCTTCCTTCCGACACCTTGCTATCTATCATTAGGGACAACACTCCCTCCCTTAAAAGAACTGGGGCTGTCTGCATTAGATCAAGCCCTTCCCTGCCCCATACCTTCTGTACTGAAATGAGGGGACACTTCAGGCCAATACCTCTACCTGGTGCCTCCACTGGCTCAAAACAGGACTTGAGCTCTGAAGGGTCTTTCTGTTGGTGAGGGTCGCCTCCAAAGACCCAAAGCCTTCACCTGGACTGCTGTTAGATCCTAGTCTATTCCCTCTGCAGAAGAACCAGGACTACTGCCAAGCCCACACGCCCATCCCTCCACCCGTCCACCCTCCCCCCCATCCAGCACATAGCAAAGCCCTTGTCACCCAGAAACCCTTCAAGAGGAAATAAAGGGGAGCCTCAGACTAGCAGCTTTAGAGAAACCTCCCAGAACTGTGAACCGTGGTATGGCTCTGTGAGGAGGCCTTGGTTTTGCAGATTCTGGGGGGGTGGAACTCAAAGTATCCTGATCTTTCCTGCTTTAGTGCCTAGGTGTCCCCTCCCTTCAGAAGTAAAGAGAACTGCACTGTAATGCATGCCCAACACATGCAGGAAATCAAAGGACGTACCGCATTGGGTAAATGTGCTACAGAAGACCGCTTTCAAGTGTTGAGGAGTAAAGATGTTACTGTGAGGACTGACCCAAGCCA